CCATGAGCAATATGTTTACAGATTGTAGCGATATTTGAGATAATGGTCGCCAAATTTCGTTACAGTATGTCGTCCAAACAGAAAGATTTCCATACAAGGAATTGAGGTAGATCGGTGAGTTTGTATGCCATAGTTGCCCGATGGCAGCGTTGCCGACAAAAGAGCAGCCCMAATTTTCCACCCGAAGCAAATATTKGAGCTAATGAGCGCAACACCTTCCGATCCCCGTGATCCCCGAATGAGGATTCTCAATTTGGCGATTCGACAAATGGTAAAATAACAAGCGAACAAAATGGAGGATCATCGACATGAGTAAGTTTTGGGCCGCTGCCAACGCATGGTCTATCCCGAAGACACATGATGACCGAGATAAAATTCAACTCAATGGCCATGTCTTTTCGACCCCGAAGAAATATGAGAGCTATTTTAGCTGACAATTCACACTGCACCCTTCGGTAKGCAAAGCTAGACGATGTTTTACCCGACTTTCATTGATGAGAAGGTTCGGAGTGTCATMCATCAATAAAGCAAAAACCACCAAAGCCATTAGCGCTGTTGGAATAAACATGCTGATGCTAAAGCACCAAAGTTTGACGCGAGTAAGCATCCTCACCAAGGTCCTCAACCAGTMGCTGACCACTCTACAAATACCCGATATTCGGAAAATCGGAAGAGTGCTCCCACTACTGAAACCTGGGAAACCCATCAATAAAGCGGATTCATATCGGCAAACAACYCTCCTTTCCTCAGTAAGACACTTGATTCCTTGCCACACTAGACCTCCACTAATTAGTTGATTTTAGCAAACCACCAGCATGTTTTCCGTAACATCAATATTACAGCCTTATCTTCCTCAACCACTAGAGCCTTGTACGCTGATAATGGCACTGTAACTGGACAAGGGGGTACAGATTTGACCTTATTACATTGGATAGCGTTAAAATTCCAGCTGTCCATAACCCTAAGCTGCTCATGCTCCTTTACTCGTACTCCGGACATGACCGCGATTATTGSCAAAGTACAGAGACGCTACATAATCCTCAAATCACTTACCGGGAGCACATGGGAAAATCGACCGGCTGGTCCTTAAGGGGTCAGTAAGGTAATCTGGCCTGTTTTTTGACATTTTTTTTTCATAGAAATTTATATTTTACATTCACATATCATGAGCTATATCGTGGAGTG